ACTTCGCACACAAGTGTGCTACACATAAACATGCCAAAATATGCCAAACACATAATACTGCGCCAAGGCCAACTTCGGCCAAGTGACCAAAAAACGTTAGTATTTATTTAAGTACAGGCAGCAGCGGATTTACGATTATGGCTACTAGTAGGTGTTGCAAAAGGTTCAGGGGCAAAGTCTGCCCTTTATTTTACGTTTTGCTGCGGCCGTACGATTGTGTCTGCTCGGGTGAGCAGCAACATGCTTTATCCGTCAGCGCTGACGGGTCAAAACTGCACCACATGCCCAAAATATGCTTTGGGCACATAACCATGCACTGTTCCTGAGCAGCTTAGTATCTGTCAACTGCTTGCTGATCTTTCGGACGGAATCCAAACAAACATGTTCACTCCTAACAGTGCCGGATCCCCCGACACGTGCAACTTCTGCCGGACTTATTCGGGGTCTAAGAAATGTTTTTGGACCCCCCCTCCCGATTCCTGAACTTTTGGTAGTATATCCCTCGTCGGAGCCATGCGGTCGCAGTATTAACATTTTGGGATCCCAGTGTCTTCGGCTATCATCGACGCCAAACTGGATAGGGTTCAAGTAAACGCACGTATGCACGGAGACCAGACCATCAACTTTCCAATGACAAACCCCCCGTCATGACCAGTCCCTGGAAGGTTGGTGCGTGTGAGGGCGGACATGCTCCTGTACGACGACGCGACAACTACTGCTACGACAACTCATAACTTCTGCTACTAAATACTGCTCTACTACTGCTGCCGCTCCTCCTTCTCCTCGCCCTCCTTCTCCGACTACTGCTGCTGCGACTACTGCTACTGAGCTACTATCAACCACTACTACTATGACGACATCTACTACTACGACGACGAGCTATCTACTTCCAACCACCCACCACTTACTACCCGGTAAGTACGACATACTAACTTACTACTTCCACTTCTGCTGCTACTACTGCTACTACTGCTGCTACTACTACTACTACCACCTCTTACTCTAATACTGCTACTGCTACCTACCCAGTACTAACTACGAACTACTACTGCTGCTGCTACCACACGGACGACGACAACGACTACTTGTTCCGAGGAATCCGCTTGGCAGGTGTCACTTTGGCCACGAATGGCCACGAGCCACTCCAGCTCTCCAGACAACCAAACGCAACTCCAACCCCACCCCTTCAACCACAACGACTACAACTGGTACTCACACTAGTGCCACTTCCGCCTACTACTACTCTTACAGCTACTAGTGCTGATGTTAAACCCTCCCTCAGGCGGAGCTCCGCAGGCTTCCTCCGCCGGTCCCGACACTCAGCAAGAACCAGATACTAAAGGGAGCAAGACTTTGTTTGGTGCTGACACCCACACACACACACACACACGCATCCTGGTCTGACTGTCCTAGTCCCACAACGAACCCTCCTGAACTCCGTATAGAAATCTCGCATCGTCCTGCCAGTAGCCTTGTAGCACACCCCGGTAAACATCTCGCATTGTCCTGCCAGTAGCCTTGTACCACACCCCGGAAAACATTGCGAGGCTAGCACATCCGCACGAGTGATGCCACCAAACCCCAAAGCCGGTTTAATCTTGGGCGCATCACAATGAGAGTGTATGGGTGCAGGGCATTCTGAGAATCGCTGACAAGTGTCACAGTGCCTTCTGAAGCGTCCGAATTCTGACGTGGAAACTCATCATCCCCGGCTGGAAACACCTCAGGCGCTCGGCATGATGCAGTCGTTGCTTTGTAAGAAAAGTCTTCTGTGATACTGCGCCCTGTATTCTGTCGGTATACAACTGTACTGCGTCTTTGCCTGTGGTGCTTACGGCCTGCTGCAGAGTTTGGCTCGCGCACAATGGAAAACCTCCGCCCGCGACGCTGCGAATATAAGCCATATAAGCTTGTTGGCCAAAAGTTTTTGAGGCCTCTCGGATCTGTTGTGGTCTGGTCTGGGGCATGTGACGAGCACTGCTGCTCTCACGTGGCCGGTCCGAGGTCCAAGCCGCTCGAATCAGAAACGTGACACCACGACATCGTCATGCTTCGACATGTACGACTTCACTTCCGAGCTCGTCGCATCCTGTGTGCTGACACCAGTAATGGCCTCTGCTGCCAGTCTTGCACCTCAGAGGTCGGCGACTTTACTGAAAGCTTGCCGCTGGTGCTCCTAAGACCACGCAGGTCCTCATCCCTTTGAACAAGTCGGGTATGCTTGAGTTTGGCGTCGGCTCCTCGCTCCCCCGTCGTTTTGCATAAACCGCAGTCAAAACGAGCACGGCTGCAATTAATGGTCCCACCGGACACGACTCCCCATCTGAGAGTCACGCGACAGGCACGAAGCACACTCTCTTCCTTAGCCACTGCTGGCCGCTGAACTACTACAGAGATCTTGTGATATGGGTGGCAGTGTGAGCCAGCATACACGCAGCTTCCCACAAAGCCCAACAGGAACTTCCAGCCAAAGCCCAGATCAAGGGAGGCGATGCTGCCATGCCTTAAACTTTTGCTCCTCGAAGCTATGAGACTGCAAGGTCAGGTGCCCAGGAAAAAAGTGTAATTAAGCTGCACCTGGAATTACATAGAGGAGACCATGCGTGCAAGGGCTGCTAGTCATGACGAGCTCAGCTTCTATTCCCGTATTGGTCATCTTGCCCACCTACAATAGGAAATAGAAATGGCACAGTAAGATCTGTCAGCTCTGCCAAGGTCGATTTCGAAGTCGAGGCCCCGAAGCTTTGCCGCAAGACTCCACGAAGGCAAAGGGATTCTATAACATGGGGTGGGCTTCTTCAAAAAGTCAGTGTACCTTACCTGGGGTCCTTGTAGGGAGGATTCTACTAAGGCCCCCCATTTTCTGAAGCTGCTGCAACAAGAGACTAGCACTCCAAGCACAAGATAATCTGGCTTTTCTGTCGCCTCCAGACCTAAGGTCTGAAGGGTCAGAGAGATCAAGAGACGACACCAGTCTCGAGGACCCTCAGCGCTCACTATCTGAAGTTTCGGCGAAAGTAAGCTCAGAACCTAGCTGTGCTGAGCTGCTACAAAATCCGCCACATGTGCGGGTACGCTTTGTTCGATCAACGGCTGAATCATTTGCAGCACACTGTCGCGGAAGAGACGAACAGAATGCTGTTCGTGCAGCAAGTGAGCATACTCACGTTGTCACGCATCAGGGGGCCCGTGTCAGTGCCCCCATGCATGCACCCTCTGGCAATACTTTCATAAAGAGCTGAGTTTCGAGAGCTGCGAAGGAATTGAGCATGGCCACATCCCAGGCTGCACGTTGTTGATCTGCGAGCTTCCTGGCTGAAGCATCAGCGTGCGTGCCAATGTTACTTTTTGGGATATCCCAGTTTAAACTCCTCAAATGCCAAGTCTGGATCCATTCTCACTTCTCAAAGCCAGGGACGTAAGGAAGGGTCCATGCAAAATGAGGCCTGTTCCATGCTTTGGATGCTTCAGAACGCGAGGACAGCAAAAAATGTATGCACACCCAACAGAATGCACAAACCCGTGTAGAATGCATGATCGACACTTCCACTCCAAGAGTCTGCAACTGACGCTGCTGCTGGCCAAAGGCTTTGATGAGCTCCTTGTGTTCAGTGACTGCATTCTGCAGAGTTTCTGCTGTTCTGAAGGTAAGCGGCAGGATTGGCTGCATGCTTGGGCCACGAGACAACACTTTCCTTTAAAGCGCACCGGAACCCTGTTCAAAGCGAGCTTCAACTTTCCGTTTGTGATTCTTTAGAGCTTCTGAACACTGGGTTGAAGTGTTTACGGGTCGAGGTGTTCCGGTTCCCGGCGGGGGGTAGTTGATCCAAGGTTCTAGGCTTCATAGTTTTGCATTCCTGGCCTTTTCATGTCGAGTTCAAGCATTCAGGTTCGGGCTGCAGGTTTCCATGCTGCGGAGGTTAAATGCCGTCGGTGAAAGCGATTGCCGCTTGGGTCTTCTCGGCGCCGACCCTTCCGAGAGCTTGGCTAAAGTCCTGTGTGGGCTCGTCCACCTTTACTGGCTGCTCGGTGTCTGCCATGGCACCACCGGAGAAGGCCGAATCTGCTTGATTTCCCCAGGCTATGCCTGTAGACAGAGTAGCCTACAGTCAGTCTATCTTAGATGTCTCTGCGCAACTTCCATAGGTCCTTGGCGAGTCTGTATGTGCAACTCTAAGCCAGCTGCAGCTGTCATCAAAGACTTGTTCTGCAGGTTCGAGGAAGTCTCGGGCAGGACAAGCTTCAGGCAAGAAAGCAGTAATGAAACCATGGGAGGAAGGAAAGGCGAGAAAGGGCATGCCAGGAGCACCGACGACAACGAATTCAGGCAATAAAAGCACACAAAAGGCAACAGGGAACCAAAGCACGTGGAATTCACGGTAGAGTAGAGTGAAGGGAGTGAAGGAGGAACGAAGCACCTGCTAGGCACGTCAACTTTACGAGGCAAACGCCTTCGGTTTCCGAGACACTAAAAGGGGAGGTTGAGAGAAAGAAGGATAACATAGGGGCCTAAATCATTGCCAATACTATCTTGGGGCTTCTTCTAATCACGTTATGATATACCTCAAAACCCTATTGTAATTATTTCGACTCGAGGGCCCCTGCATTGCAGCATGCCCTTCACAAGACACACGGCAGGTTTCACTCTTCCGGACAAGCCGACAACGTCTAGCATCTATGTATCGAAAATTAGTTGCAGGACGTCAACGCAAAGTTTAAACCTTGAAACCACTAAGCGAAGACCTGACCAAGATGACTTCACTTCCCGAGTCAGAAAAAACTGGTGCGAAAGAGATAGATGGCCGGGTTCGCATGTTGCAGTGAGAAGGATATCTTGGCTACCAGATGGACAAATGGATATCTTGTCTGTTCATCAAAACAGACGCTCTCTGCGTCTACTACGTGACAACCAAGAACTGGGGAACGGGTCGTGTTTACGGCTAGAGATCCCAGAGATCCTTGGGTTCGGTGTGTTCAGTTTGCGATCTACCTATGACGTTTTATTGCAAACTCCTGATTAATCATCTATGCTTGGAGGGCAATGTCAACTTCCTTCAGGGCCAGAATGTGTTTGATTAAACCGTACAAGGGATGGGGCGTTAATTTCCTGAGGGACTTCAGTGGTGCAGATTCGGCCAGCGCTTCAGTTGGTCGATTTGGCTTGGAGTACTTGCTTCAGCTCATGATAGATCTAGTTCACATCTTTCCATACTTAAACATATTGCAGACAAAACCCTCCGTGTGTGTGTACTCATACATGCATGATTCTGTATGCCATATGTGTTTACAAACTCAATATGATACATTGTCTGCTACACGCACTTCCTGGCTTGCCATTATGACAAGTGTCATGATTAATAATATGCCGTTAGGGCGGTTGCTCTTATTGTATAAGAGAGTGCCTCAATCTGGACAGACAGAGATGGTTCTGCATCAAAGCCAGTAGCTGTCGGCTCGCTACACGGTTCGTTTCCTTCCTGCATGTGGGGAGTGATGCGGTCAGGAAAACGATTCGGAGATTACTGCTAACTCCGACTGGTGAGGCCGGGCCAAACCTCGCACAAAGCCTCAACTCAAAAATGTGAGCTCCATGACCGCCTACGCGACGCATGGGCATACAACAAGCTTCATCGAAGTTCGTCGATTCCCTGCAGCTGCAAGCGATGATGCAGCACGTGCTTCCGTCTGAATATCCAACCTAGCACTTGGGGATCTACAGGAAATATGCTGGAGCATGCTGCAGGGAGTTGGATTCACACTAGGGTGAAAATCAACACGTGCCAAACAGGGTACGGGTACAGTAGGGTCCAGTTGAGAGTTTGCAACTTCTTGGAAGTTCTTTCCCCCCAACGTGAGATTCAGCTCCGAAAGACTTTCAGCATGATCTTGGCAGCACAGACCAAATGCGACGCTCCGTCACGAAGTGTTGGCGGCCGGCGCAAACTTGACCTCTGCGACGGCCAGGCTGCGCATGAAATGACTGGGTCATCGTGCAAGACTACACCTTCTGCTGTGTTTTGTTGTGGGGCTGAAAGCGTCGGATCGCTCTGGTGCAGATGACAAGCGCATCCGAACAACATGCTTCCCTCCTCACGTCCTGAAACCCCACTTTGCATCCAGGCCTATTGCAACTGCCGGGTACCCCTTTCCCCCTAAAACCAAAGCTCTAAACCCAATCAAACTATACTTGAAGAGTATATGGACTATAGCCTATTACAACTTATTCAAGCTTCTATAGAAAACATCTATCTATCTATCTAGCTATCTATCTATCTATCTGTTTATCTTTTTCGGATCCCACTTGGCACTGATACATATATATATATATATGAGCCTCAAAGCAGGTCTAGCCTCGGACTGGTCGATGCGGAAGACCTTGAGGTTGGCACGGTTCTTGGATCCTTCGGCCTGTGACTTCGATCGGATGAGCTTGGAATCTTTCATCTGCCTGATGAGCTTCGTGACCTGAAGCGAGGGCTTTTGGACTGGGCTTTGGAGCAGCAGCTATGTGTTTCGGAGCCAGTTCAGAACATCACAATGAAATGTGCACGAGCAAATCCAAGCTCTCCATTCCGTATTCCGAACTATCGCCATCGCGCGCGCGCGTCGTCTTTAGCCTGAAAGACGGTTCACTCGCGATGTTGTCTATGTCACTCCGCAGTCGAATTTGAACACGTCTCGGGTAGCAGTTTGCTCTGCAATGCGGTTGCGCAGATTGCTCGTCGTCTTTCAGCGGCTTCCTTATTGCTGACCTGTTGTACTCTGCCACTGGAAGCATCTTTCCATCTTTCGACCTCTTAACTTCGCGCCAGGGTAACACGTCTTTACCTCAGCCCGGCCCGGCCCTGCCCCGAAAAGTTTGGCCCCGACCGAAGCCTTGCATATTGGCATAGCGGGGTTCAACGGGAAAAGCTCCACATGGGAAGCATGTAATACCCACAATTCAGAAGGCACCATGTTCGTTGGGTTGCTGTTGGTCCGCTGCTCAAAGCCTCATGAGGCCCATGCAGATCCAAGAAACTCGGCTTAAAAGCTGCGCCTTGTTGTCCAGCTGCTTCACATCAGACTGCAGGGCGACCGTGTCGATGGCACGAGCGGGGCCTTTGCACCGCATAATTCCATCCTCGGTCAACAATGAACCGTCAGGACATTCTGTTAACGCCAAATCAAGTGTGTCGAACGGCGCAGTGCTTCCAAGATGCGATAAACTCGTCGAGCGTAACTTCACCATCTCCTTATAGCCGGAGAATTCACGGGGGGCGAAAGTTTCAACTGTCGGATTTAAAACATATTCTATTAACCCAAAAACTATAAAGACCCATGTACTCAACCGGAAAGGCTCCGTTATCAAGGAGGTGAAAAAGAGCCGTCCCTTCTTGTACGTCAACTTCAAGAGTCTGAAAGTAGGCTTTTACTTTGGGATTCGCGAGCATATGGTTCAGGACCTGCTCGGAGAGGGTGCCACGGCCAGTAACGTCGAGTGTCTTGAACACGCCCTCCAAGCGTTCCACGTACTCGGCTTTTTTCCGAATTCGATCCAGAACAAGATGCTGTGCATCATTGTGTGCTTCGTCTAGAGTATCCTTCAAAAATATGGCAGATATTACACGTATCACAGCGAACACTATGATTGTAATATACAGCAGATAGAAGATCACGAAGGCGTGGCTGACCCTCTCCAGCACTGGACGTGCATTCGCGGGCCAGTTCCTCAGCCCACAGACGTTGAATGACGACAAGAAAGAGAGAGAGATATAAATATGGTAGCTCCAACAATCCTCCTAGGTTTAGGCTTCTGGTGTATGATCCCGGCTTAGCGTTAAGTTTTGAAGCTCCCAGGGGACAGCATATGTATATCGACAGCCGCCTTCATTCTCAATTCTTGCGACCCTTCACGCAGATACTCTGAGAAACAGGTTCCACAACGATGAGTCATTTCTGTCTGAATACCCGAAGCTCAACATTAACTCCCAAGATAGCCCTTCGCTGTAGTCTCAGATCGAAACCCCAATGGTGACGGTGGTCTTCTAGTTCATGTTCACCCAAAGTGGATGATTCACATCTCAGTTCGTATGCGTTAAAATGTAAACTGTTATGTCGACTTGTAACCCCATCATGCATACATCCGCATATCAATTCCCATACCGACCTGAAGGTTTAACACAATAACATACATCAGCATGATTGGCCCTCTGCTAGCAATTATATCGCAGTCCCCCAAGATAGACCATACCCGCCAACTTAATATTACCCATGAGAGCTTCCCTGTACCGGATACTTCTTTCAACTGCAACCCAAACAATGGCTTTAGGAAAACCCCGATCATTGGCCTCATCAACAGGTTAGTTCATCCAGATATAGCTGTGGGATCCAATTCAAGTCCCCTAAGTCAAAAAGCATGGCATCCACAATACTAGTTACTGCTAATATTAGTACATGTAAGCTAAATACTGCCCAAGCATTTGCTTCAATGGTTGCCTTCATACTCATGCTGATAGTAAACTACCAAAACGAGTGCCACTAAGAACCAGGATCCTTGCTGTCTTCCCTCTGGCGTTCCCCAAATGATAGCCCTTAGATTTTTACGGATGATACCAGCATTTGGGTGTTTACCTCAACATGTTGTTTATGGCACCCCCTTTCTCACTATAGTATATGATCAAACCTAGACTTGCTGACAGACTTGCCCATATGCGTGTACGTGTGTACATACATATGCTAATGCTAATGTTAAACCTGTACTAGATACCAACAT